AGAGGGGCCAGAGTCTTACCACTAGTTAAGGGGTGAACATGTAACTAAAGTGTTCATTATATAAGTGTACTCAAAACACTTCCCTGGAGATAATTCACAATACATTCTCTCCCAAACTAAGTACTTTGTATAAAATTACTTCAACAATAAAGAAAAAAAAACAAAAGAAGTGTTTACCTCAGCCCTGCCACTTAAGAGTTCCCGAACTTATTTAAAACAATTAATGTGATACACAACAGGTGTTACAAAGTGATAAGAACATAAGGAGTCTGCAATAGGCCGGTTGGCCTGTGCATGGCAGCTCCTGTCGAGAGTTACTACCACTCTCTATCATCCATGAATCTATCTAGCCTCCTTTTAAAACTTTCCAGCGTTCCCGCACTTACTACAAAGTTGCTAAGCTTGTTCCACTCGTCCACCACCCTATTTGTGAACTAGTTTCTTCCTATCTCCCTCCTAAACCTAAACTTATCCAACTTAAATACGTTGCTACAAGTCCTATCTTGCTCGGATACTATAAGAACTTTATCTATATCTCCTTTATTGATTCCTTTCACCCACTTAAATACTTCTATCATATCTCCCCGCACTCTTCGTCTTTCTAGGGAATGCAAGTTTAGTTTATTTAACCACCCGATCGAAACTTCTATCTAACCAACGCTCTTGTAATGATAAGGACCAGATATTACATGTAAATGCTCACTGACAGAAAAACTGAGTTGCTTCTGCAGGAAATAATGGGAAACGTTTTTTATTCAGCTGATCAACAAAAATCACAGATGGTTCAGAGAAATGTGGCTCCAAGCTCGACTCCTGATTCAGCGCTTCCTTTGTAGTGACCAGCCACTCAGAACTCATGATACAAACGACAGGTTGACATATTCCCACAGGTAGAGGTTCTGCATGATGAATACATTCTGAATAAATTACACGTAATATCAGGTAGATAATAAAAATTTATTGCATATGCCAAACAAAAATTTTTATTTGGTATATTACGATATATTTATTATGAGAAAATCTATAAAATGGCGTAAAAGAACCGAAATAACCATTAATTTGTACCAACTGACACTGCTGGTAGTGAAGGCGGGCGGGGGAGAGGGCTCAGGGGTGGTAATGTGTGTGATGATGATGATGATGATGATTATGATGATGATGATGATAATGAATGATGACGATAATGATGGCGTACATGTGGTGATGATGACGAGGATGATGAATGATGACAAATAATGAATGATAATGATGGTGATGATGAATAATGATGATGATTGATGCTGCTGAATGATCCCCAGTTATAATAAGACAATTCATCATCACTACAGACACACTTGGTTTGATTTACAGGGGTGAGATAAGGTTAGGTTTCATTTCACCCCACATTATGGTGTCGCCCCCGTGTAATAATAACCTACCTCAGAGTTCCTTATTTACTATTTATGAACGTTCAGTCATACTAATTCCCTCAGTGGCAAACCTCTGGATTAAAGGCTAAATATAAAATGATAATACACGAGGAGTTGCTAGTGGCGTAGTTGCTAGTGGCGTAGTTACTAGTGGCGTAGTTACCAGGGGCGTAGTTACTAGGGGCGTATCCAAAGGCTGAGTATTTTTGTTTACCAAATATAAGAACACCTGATATCGGAACACAAGCCATCTGGGTGGTTAGTTTATCCAATGTTGGTGCAGACGAAAACCGGAAATCGTGCTACGTCAGACATCTATTTAAACCAGAAACGATTCGAACCCTGGACTTGTGGGAGAGAAATACGCACGTTACGATATACAACCCAAGATCCAAGTGACGCGCTAGGTATCTACACTATCAAGGGCAAATAATTATATTGGAAATGTTGGTTAGTGATCCCATTACATAATTTACTTCAGCACTAGCAGCTTATGGGCCCCGGTGACGATACCTACCACTCTTACCCTAACAAAAACTTCAACTGAACAAGGTGTTTAACGTGACATAACCAGGCCGATAACCCTTATGTATGTATGTATGTATGTATGTATGTATGTATGTATGTATTATTTTTCCACAATAAATTGATACAAAATCAAGGTCCCAGTACAGGAGGATAAGTACCCCGCACTGCAACAACAATGTACCGATACTAATTCTAGGATTTTATTCATATATCCACATACTAGCTTAGGTTAATAGCCGTCTTAATATCAGTATTATCTATCTATACCACATGCTAACTTTGGTTAATAGTCATCTTAATAGCAGTATTATCTGTCCGAGCCACCACATCCACAACTCCTGTACACACGGCGGAGAGCTACACTACCGCCTCCTCCCCCCTGGACCCCACAGTACAACAACACATCTTGTTATCACCTTACCTTCACTCAACTGCTAATAACCACAACGTAGAGTCCTGGAAGTCCTCACGACGCCACAAACACGAGGTAATCCACAAACAGCGAACGTAAAATCCAGGAAATAGCGATCAAACGTTGCCTCAAATACTGTCCAACCACACGCACCACCACACACACAGATGTTGACGCCGCCGTTACTCACACCTTAATGATTTCTGGCGAGTCGTGAGTGTCGAAGCTTTGAAATGCTTCGATTCTTTAATTCATTGGTTCGCTTTACTGATTCACATGAAAAACACCCACGTATTTATTTATCGACTGGATGGCAAAAATGATATGATACGTGATTGGCCGTCATTTATAATCTCATTTGTTATCTCCAATTACTTCTAGCCATCATTAGCGAAAATAAAATTGATAATTATTTACGAAAATTAAACCCGAAATTCGAAACTTCGTCAAATTCCCCGCTGTTTCACACTCAACTAGTCCACAACCAAATAAGTAATAGTTTTAACATCGTCAAGTTCCATACGTGAAATATAGTTACATGCGATGTTTGTTTTTCTTAAAACATTGCAGGTTTGTTAAGATCTTTTATAAATTAAAATTTATTGGTCTTCCTATACGTTTTTTTTATGATAGTAAATAAAGTGTTGAACGACTGTGAAGTAAAGTGTTTGATGACTAAGGTTACCTCTTTAATACTTACAGGTGAGTGAAGAGAATAGCCAATCAAGAGTTAGACTGGAGGCCTTCAACAAGCAGCGTGCCCACACACCAGTGACCTGACCTTCAACAAGCAGCGTGCCCACACACCAGTGACCTGACCTTCAACAAGCAGCGTGCCCACACACCAGTGACCTGACCTTCAACAAGCAGCGTGTCCACCCACACACCAGTGACCTGACCTTCAACAAACAGGATGCCCACACACCAGTGACCTGACCTTCAACAAGCAGCATGCCCACACACCAGTGACCTGACCTTCAACAAGCAGCTTGTCCACACACCAGTGACCTGACCTTCAACAAGCAGCGTGCCCACACACCAGTGACCTGACCTTCAACAAGCAGCGTGCCCACACACCAGTGACCTGACCTTCAACAAGCAGATTGCCCACAACCAGTGACCTGACCTTCAACAAACAGGATGCCCACACACCAGTGACCTGACCTTCAACAAGCAGTGCCACACACCAGTGACCTGACCTTCAAAAGCAGCGTGCCCACACACCAGTGACCTGACCTCAAACAAGCAGCTTGCCCACACACCAGTGACCTGACCTTCAAGAGCAGCGTGCCCACACACCAGTGACCTGACCTTCAAAAAGCAGCGTGCCCACACACCAGTGACCTGACCTTCAAAGAGCAGCGTGCCCACACACCAGTGACCTGACCTTCAAAAAAGCAGCGTGCCCACACACCAGTGACCTGACCTTCAACAAGCAGCGTGCCCACACACCAGTGACCTGACCTCAAAGAGCAGCGTGCCACACACCAGTGACCTGACCTTCCCCACACACCAGTGACCTGACCAACAAGCAGCTTGCCCACACCAGTGACCTGATCTTCAACAAGCAGCGTGCCCACACACCAGTGACCTGACCTTCAACAAGCAGCGTGCCCACACACCAGTGACCTGACCTTCAAAGAGCAGCGTGCCCACACACCAGTGACCTGACCTTCAACAAGCAGCTTGCCCACACACCAGTGACCTGACTTCAACAAGCAGCTTGCCCACACACCAGTGACCTGATCTTCAACAAGCAGCTTGCCCACACACCAGTGACCTGATCTTCAACAAGCAGCGTGCCCACACACCAGTGACCTGACCTTCAACAAGCAGCGTGCCCACACACCAGTGACCTGACCTTCAACAAGCAGCGTGCCCACACACCAGTAACCTGACCTTCAACAAGCAGCTTGCCCACACACCAGTGACCTCACCTTGAAAGAGCAGCGTGCCCACACACCTTCACTCAACTGCTAATAATCACAACGTAGAGTCCTGGAAGTCCTCACGACGCCACACACACCAGGTAATCCACAAACAGCGAACGTAAAACATGAAAATAGCGATCAAATACTGTATGACCACACACACACATGATGCCGCCACCACTGCCTTACCTCTAATGATCACTGGCGAGAGGCGAACCCGAGGTGCTTCGATTCCTTAATTCATTGGTTCGCTTTACTGATTCACACGAAAATAATCGACTGGACAGCAAAGACCCTTCCTGGGGCGGCGGGGGCCCTCCCAGGGATGCCGTCCACCGAGGGGCCTTCCCAAGAGTCCTCCCAGGGGCAACCGCGATCCCAGGGGCGCTGCCAGAGTTAGTGGCAACCCCCATGGCCCTTCCTAAGTGCGGCGGCCCTCTCAAGGGCCCTCCCAGATGTGGAGGTGCCTCTCAGAGCCCTAGGGGGCCCTCCCAAGGGCGGTTGGGCTCCAAGTGGCCCTTCATAGTGGTGGTGTCGCACCTAGGGACCCTGGCAGGCGCGATGGCTCCCCATGGGAACCTCCCAGGGGCAGCAAATGCCATCCCAGCGGCGGGCCCCAGGTCCCCTCACTGATACCGAAGTGTCCCTGGGGGCCCTCATAAGGGCAGCGGCATCATCTGGAGCCCTCCCAGGGACAGCGGCGCCCCCAGGGACCCTTCCATGAGCGATGGCAACCCAATGGGCCCTGCCAGGGTCTTTGGCGCCCCCATAGACTCTCCCATATGCGGAGGTGCCCCTAAGGGACCCACAGAGTCGGCAGCGCCGCAAGTCTCTCTCCTTAGGGACAGCAGCAGCCCCCCTAGGTGCCCTCCTAGGGGCAGTTGCGCCCTCAGGGTTCCTCCCAGGGCCCCTGCGAGGGGCAGAGGCGCTCCCACGGGTCTTGTCAGGAGCGGTGGCGCCCTTGGATCGCCTTTGCAGGGGTGGCAGTGCCCCGAGGGGCCCTCTCAAGGGCGGCGACGCTCTCTAGGTTCCTCCCAGGGTCGGAGGTGCCCCCAGGGGCCCACCCAGGAGCGGCGGCGCTCCTAGGGGCCCTGCCATGGCGGTGACGCCTCTGTGGGCCTTTTAGGGTCGGCGAGGGCCAGATAAGGTGCGACGGCCATCCTAGGGGCGGCGGCGCCCCCAGAGGCCCTCTAACATGGGGATGCACCCCTAGGGGTCCTCACTGAGAGGGTAGCGACCCTATTAGCTCACCTCAGGGGCAGGAGCCCCCCCCAAGGCCTTCCAACGGGAAGGGTTCTCCCACGGTGGTGCCCCTAGGGGCCCTCCAAGAGAAAGCTGCGCCCCAAGGGGCCTTACCAGGGGCCTTTTTATGGGCAATTCAACCCCAAGGGCGCTGCCAGGAACAGTGGCGCTTTTAGGGGCCCCTCAAGGGTGGCAGCGCTCCCAATGGCTGTCCCAGGGGAAGCTGCTATCCCCGGAGCCCTCCCAGGGGCAGCAGCGCTCCCAGCGGACCTCCCAGGGGCGGTGACGCTCCCAGGGGTCCGCCCAGGGACGGCCGCGCCCTAAGGGGCCCTCTGAGGGTCAACTGCGATCTCAGGGGCCCTGGCAAAGTCAGTGATACCACTAGAGTCACTCCGAGGGGCCAAGGGGCCCACAGAGGCCCTCCCTGATGCGGAGGTATCCCTAGGGGCTCTCACAGCGATAGCGGCGTCCTCTGGGGCCCACCCAGGGACGTTGGCATTCCCAGTGGCCCTTCGAGGGACGATGGCACCCCCAGGGGCCCTCCCAGGGCTGGCTGCGCCCCCAAATACACTCCCACACACGTAGACTTCCCTAGAGGCCCTCCCAGGGGCAGTGTTGCCCCCAGGGTACCTTCAGGGGCTCTACCAGGGGCGGTAGCTCCCCAGGAGTGCATTTCTAGGGGCTTCCGCTCCCTTTTGGGCCTTACCAGAGGCCCTCCCAGGGGCAACTGCGACCATATGGACCATGCTAGGGTCTGTGGTGCCCCAGAGTCCCTTGCAGGGGCGAGGGCGCCCAAGGGGGGGGGGGGGCCTCACTCGGGCGGCGGCGCCCTGAGAGGACCTGCCATCAACAGAGACGCCCCCAGGGGTCCTTTCTGGGCATGAAGGCCCAGAAGGGGGCGGCGGCGTCCCCTGAAGCCCCCTAAGGGGTAGAGGAGACCCTACCAGGGGCGGTGACGGCCCATTTCCATCCCAGATGCGGAAGCGCCCCAAGGGGTCCTCGCAGAAGCGCTGGCGCCCCATGGGTTTCTCCCAGGAGCAGCAACGCCCTCAGGGAATGTTCCAGGGGCGGTGGCGTCCCCAGGGGCCCTACCAGAGGCGACGGTGCCCCAGTGGCCCTTCCAGACGCGGAGGCGCCCCTTGGGGACCCCTCACGGGCATCTCTCCTAGGGGGCCCTCCCAAGGGCAGTGGCGCACCCAGCTGCCCTCCTTAGGAGTGGCGGCGCCCTTAGGGGCCCTTCCAAGTGCGATGGTGGCACCTAGGGCCCTGCTAGAGGCAGCGGCTCTCCCAGGGGCCCTGTCAGGGGCAGCGGCGTCCCTTAGTGCCCAGCTGGGAACGGCTGAAACCCCTATGACTTCTTCAGGGCCAGGGGGCCCCCAGAGCCCCCCCAAGGGGCGGCGGCGCCCCCAAGGGGTCTTCCAGGTGCGGCGAGGGCCCAGCGGAGGCTTTCCCAGGAGTGGTGGAACCCCCAGGAGCCCTCCCAAATGCGGAGGCGCCTTTTTAGTGGTTCTCACAAAGGCGCCAGCGCCTCCTGGGGCCATCGCAGGGCCTGTAGCGCCTTCAGGGTCCTGCCGAGGGATGACGGCGCCCCCACCGTCTCTCCTTAGGGGCAGCAGCTTCCCCAGGGGCCCAACAAAAACGATGGCACCCCCCAGCGGCTCTCCTTAGGGAGCCTTCCCAGGTACTGTGGCGCCCCCAGGGGTCCGACCAGGGTTGACGGTGCCCCCTTATGGATAGCGGCGCACTCAAGGGCGGTGGCACCCCAAGGGGCCCTCCCAGGGGTGGTAACGCCCCAAGTGGCCTCCCAGGTGCGAAGGCGCCCTAAGGGGCTCTCCTTAGGTACATCGGACCCCCCAGGTGCCCTCCAAGGGTTGTTCCTAGGGGCCCTCAAAGAGGCAACTACGACCCCAGGGGCCCTGCCAGGAGCAGTGGCTCTCCCAGGATCCCTCCCAGGGACGGAGGCGCCTCTAGGAGTTCTCCCAGGGGCAGCAGAGCCTCCAGGGGCCCTCCCAGAGGCGGCACCGCCCCAATGGAGCTCCGTAGGGGTAGCTGTGCTCCTCGGGTCCTTTCCAGGTGCAGCGGTGCCCCCAGGGTCCCTTACAGGGGCGGTAGCGGCCCCAAGGGCCCTTCTAAGGACAGAGGGGGGCCTTCCCAGGGGTGGCGGGAGCTCTGTCGGGAGTTGTGGTATCCCCACTGGCCCTACCAAGGGCCGCGGCCCCGCCAGGGGTTCTCCTGGGGGCCTTCCCAGGTCACAACCTCAAGTTTAAGAATGTGTCAGTAAAGAGACAGTCGTGGTGTGACCACATAAGGGGACAGACGTGCCCATAGGTGCTCTTGACTTCCCAATCGTCCCAAGAAGGTCCCCTCCTCAGAACCAACTCCCCTCAGCCGGCAAGTTTTTGTCAGTATGGAGAGTCGACGCAAGCGCCCCAGTAGAGGTATCCCCTCTCTCAACAATGCCATCGCCAACTTGACTGGTCATACTGAATCCAACACCCTTCAAGAGTCAGACCCCAGTGATTATGACAGTGACGGTAATGTTTCTATGGGAAACACTAGTCAGAGTGGAAACACCAATGCCACGGACCCTATTACCCTGCCCTCTGCCAAACAAATAAGTAAGCTGAATCTACACTTTCCCAAGGACCCATTGAAATCCGTCGAGGACCGGTTTAATTGGATGATGAAGTACTGCAGACAGCACGGTCCCAACATTCACTTCCGACAAGGTAGGAACCGGAACTCTATCAAGTGTTAGACTCCTGAAGTCTATGAAACCCTTAGTACTGTTGGCTTTGACGGGGTGGTCATGGTGCCCCCCCCCAGTAGACGCTGATGAATGTTGCTACATCCTAGTGAAACGTTTCCCCCTATACGCTGACATCGAAGATGCGCGAGACTTTAATTCTAATATACTCTGTATACGTCGACATTACCGGGGGAAAAATCCACAAGCCACTGTTTTTGTCAAGTGGAAGGGAAGGGTATGCCCAACCACTGTGGAAGCCCATCCAATCCTTCCACCACTTTATGCAGAACCCTATCATCCTGGGCCTGCATTTTGTGTTATCTTCTCTCATTGGGGTCACACCTTCACTGCCTGCTGCCGACGTGATCGTCCCAGATGTCGCTTCTGTTCACGTAACCACAACTCCACTGCCTATGCCCAGAAAATAAAAGACCACCTTAATAGGGGTGGTGTGGGCTATGTAGTTGATCCCAGGTGCTGTAACTGTTGCAGCCGGCACAATGCTGACTCACGGCAGTGCCCCAGTCGCCCGTCTGTCCCAGGGGAGATGCCTCCCCCTAGGGCCACGTCTACCACAACGCCCCCCCCTTCCAGTCTACTGGGACACCTGCCCCTGCCACTGCCCGGCTTCACCAGGCTGCACCACAACAGCACCTACCGTTCCCTAACTCAACCACAACTGAGCCTCCTCCCTGTCTATTCTGACGCTGCCAAGCCTCGTACTCCCACCAGTGCAACCCCCACAACCCCTCCTCCAGTGACATGACACAGATCATGTCCCTCTTCCAAGAATTTACCAGTCATGTTAAGAAACTCTTCGTTACACTCTGTACCACTATCTCCGACCTACACCGCCAACTCTTGCCCTCTGCTGCCACCCATTCACTCCCCTCTTCTGGTTTGACACAAGCTGGTAGTCCCCCTGTTAGCTCGTGTGTACTGCTACCCCCGAGCCAAGCGCTGCCTCATCTTCACGTCACATGGTGCCTCAACCTGTCTACTCACCGCAAGCCACGCCCGCTCCTGTGTCTATTCTGTCTCCACCAGAGCTACCTATTGGACCTGATGACTCCACCTGGCTACCCATACTCCACCGACATGCCGGCACTTAAGGCCCATTCGCCCACGTCAGGGGTACACATGTACCCAACCGGCTCGCCTGTAATCAATCAATTACACCACAATGGATAGCAATGCTACAGGACTGCAGGTTCTCACCTGGAACATAAACGGTTTGCAAAACAAGTTTGGTGCCCTCAAAACCTACTCTTACACTGAAGATGTCGACGTGCTGTGTCTCCAAGAAATGTGGTCTGCTGCTGGTACCTATGTGCTCAGTGGCTACACATGTGTTGAGAGCCCATCCACCCCTGTTCTTCGCATCGATGGACTACCACGAGGCCATGCACGTGGACTGCGGATCTACGTCAAGAACGACGTCCCCTACCAACCTCTCGACGTCCTCCTTGACGACGACGCCACCGACGCACATGCCACCACAATCACACTAAAAGGTATGTCCCTCAATATTGTCAATGTCTATGTGCCTCCCTCCACCCCTACTGTACCTGTCCTACCACACCATATCACCTCCACCCCCACCCTCCTAGTGGGGGACCTCAATGCCCGACACCCCAGTCTCGGCTCCCAGGGGCCCCACTCAAACTCCTGGGGTAACTCCTGGCTCTCCTACCTACAAACCACTGATGACCCTGTACGTCTTCTCTGCCCTCCATCACCCACCCACATCGGGGGAGGGAAACTTGACTACATAGCCCTCTACTCTGACCCTCACCGCCCACACTCCACCCGCATCCTCCACTCTCCCCACAGTGACCATTTCCCTATCCACACTACCCTCCAGTACATGAGAATACCCGCTCCACCCAAGGACCCTAGGCTCAGTCTACCCCCTGCCAACATACCTGTGTAAAGGCCTGGGAATTAGGGATAGAAATCCCTTACCAGACTAATCAGGTTCTTAATTAAGGAAAGTCAAGGACCATGGTTTTCTGAGGAATAACAAACAACCGTTTGAGAATGACACCTCTTTACTATAAAAAATATAAAACAAAACTCTGACACCACTCAACAAACAACAAATAATTACGGGAGTCAAACAATTAATGCAGTCAATAGAGTTAATCAATTAAGGGAAGCAAACAATTAAAGGAATCAAACAAACAATGGGAGTCAGCAATTAATGGATTCAAACAATTAAAAGGAATTCAACAATTGATAGAATCGAACAATAAAGGGGAGTCAGCAATTAATGGAATCAAACAACCATAGAATCAAACAATGAACAGATATTTCCTACTGAAGTGGCCCTGGGGGAAGGTTCAGGAACACGGTGATGCACACTCAGGGTAGGGAAGCGTCCATTCAACTCCACACTCGAGCGACAGCGGCCGATTGTCTTGAAATGGCAGGAGAACACCGGGGCATAGATGGAATGAGTTGAATTGACGGTCGTGGTATGTGGTAGTGGTAGATGACCAGAGAATTGACAGTCGATAGGTGAAGGTCTGGGGACACAGCCCACGAGTCCAGGACCTATGCAGCGCTGCCGTTTATTCCTCAACTCTATGACGTCATTTTTCTTCACGTTTTCGTTGGGTATTAATGGACATTAAAAAGCATGAATTTTAAGTATAACTATTGTAATGTCTTGGCAAACTATAAATATGCGCATACAAAAACCTTACAATTATATAATATTATAACATCTCATGGGAACATTAAACACTAATTGAACAAAAAATATCAAATAGAAGTTAGCATCCTCTGATATGGTGTAAAAATTATACATCCACCCTGGAGTTTCACAGCCTTAGACAAGGCTATTAATGAATTAATAGAGGGAGTTTGCAGAGCGTTTCTGGATTTTGTTTTCATTAAATTCAATTTCGAAAATAGTCTCTCTGCATCTGCATTGCATGTTGGAAGAGACAATACCTGCAAAGCAAATGTACAAAGGTCCTTAAATTGGGAAACACCTACACCGTCCTTAAGTTCCCCTAGTTTTGTATAAACGTCCACTATGTCACTGCTGTCCTTAATCTCGGGTGGTATAGCAATCACATCTAAGTCTCTCCATAGATCATTTAAAACTTATATACTGCCACTGTATATGCGGGGCACCGCCTTCACAAAGTCGTCAAATGATGGCATCTCCTTCTTGGATTTATTACCAATACTCTATTTGATGACAGAAATTAACACATCCATAAAAATTTACTGCCAAACTCAAATCTTTGACGCAATAGCACACAAATTGTACATCCTTGACCATATTAGGGAGTTCTCTATATTGTTCACTTTGGCCGAGTATTGTTGCTCCCAAGTATATTTGGCCAATTGGGAGGTGATGTTCTTCATTTCTGGGATCAACTGCATCAAGATTACCAGTTTGAAAAACTTCATGACGACAAAAATATCCCAAAAGACTCCTGTAAAGCTGACATATACTATCGTGTAACAAATGTATAGTTGGTGACTCTCTGAAACAGTAGACTTAACTTGTTACAATTGGGCAATATGAAATTAAGAAAATTGTAGTGCAGGTGAAGGGTCTCCAAGACTCTCTGCTATTTGTTGTACGACCACCAATCTTTCCTCTGATTCTTTTAAAGTAAAAAACATTTTTAGGGGCTGCCACTGCTCTAATACTCTTTCAACTGCCTGGTGGAATGATAACCAGCGGGTCTGATTAACATGCAGAACTTTGTGTGGTTTGACAGTACAGAATGATTTAAATTCCTTAAATTCATGTTGTCGTTTAGCACTATGGGAAAAATAGGTATATAAATCTGATCATGTCTTCACAACGCCGTGGTAGCGTCTTTGCAGCCTCTGAAGCGCATAAGTGAATAGAATGACAAATACATTTCAATATGGTTATGCCAGGAATAGTGATACGTACAGTAGTCTGCTGCTTACAGAATTGTGTTCTCTCATAATGTTACTAACGCCATCAAAGCCAATCAGGTTCTCATGTGGAATTCTTTGTGTTTCTAATGTTTTCATAATTAAATTATGCAAATTTTCCCCCGTTGACCCTGTAGATGATTCATCACTATATACATTGATCACCTCTAATAACCCAGATTTAATGCGGTTTGTGGTTGAATCCCAAAATCTTACAAGAACAGAGGATGCTTTCATCGTACTAATGTCTGTTGTTTCGTCAACAATAATGGAAAATTTATTTTCTCAGTTTATCTACTAATCCTCGGTGACACACCGTCCTGACGTCCTCACAACCTCTGTGCATTTTGTTCTTTTCATGTTCATGCCTTGAGCAATTGCAGAATCAGGAAACATCCTCTTCATGAGGTCTACTAAATGATCTGCAGTGGTAAATGGCAAGTTGTGCTCGGCTATAAAGCAAGCAAAAAGAATTGTTGCTACGGCTACTCCATTTGCTGCATAGTTCCCATGGTGGACCGGGATCCTCTCCTGCTGGACCTCCTGTTGTTCCACGGCCTCATAAACTGAATGCATCTTTGTCGTTTT